AAATATATCAAACTGCTCTGCATGTACATGTACTTGTGTATTATGTTAATTGATTAGAAAATATAAATGATGTACATGTACGTGTACTTCTTCCCTGTGTATTGTAGGAGTATCAGTCATTCACTGACCTCAAGTTCAGTAAAGATAAAGTTGTGACTTGTATTGACTGGCATCCAACAATTAAAGGTTTGACATACCTACACTGTACATGTACATGTATGAATGATAAATTTACAATAATCAGTTTCGTATTGAATATACATTCACTGTGTATATGTTACTTTATGAACAATGTACAATGTAGAAAGTTTGACTTGATTCCAACTCAATTTTTTTAAGTTATGACAATTTCAAAAATATGCCAATATTTGAGAAAATTCCCTGTACTATAGCCCATGGTTTTTTTGAAAAATTGTTTCGAAATCACCCCCAATTTTTGTTACATTTTCTGATACGTATTGATGTGCTTATGCTACGTAGAAAGTTTGAGCAGATTCCGACTTCAATTTTTCGAGTTATGACCATTTTCTAAAACTCCAAATTTCTGAAAAATCGCCTGTACTAGCCCATGTTTTTTCCGAAAAATTGGCTCCGAAATCACCCCCAATTTTTATTACATTTTCTGATACATATTGATGTGCTTATGCTACGTAGAAAGTTTGAGCAGATTCCGACTTCAGTTTTTCAGATTATGGCCATTTTTTAAAAACTCCAATTTTCTGAAAAATTGCCTGTACTATAGCCCATGGTTTTTTCAAAAAATCGACTCCGAAATCACCCCACATTTTTATTACATTTTTGATACATATTGATGTACTTATGCTACGTAGAAAGTTTGAGCAGATTCTGACTTTAATTTTTCAAGTTATGACCATTTTTTTAAAAACTCCAATATTCTGAAAAATCCCCTGTACTATAGCCCATGGTTTTTTCGAAAAGTTGACTCCGAAATCACCCTCAATTTTTATTACATTTTCTTATACATATTGATGTACTCATACTATGTAGAAAGTTTGAGCAGATTCCGACTTCAATTGTGCAAGTTATGACCATTTTTCTAAAACTCCAGTTTTCTGGAAAATCCCCTGTACTATAGCCCATATAGCCCATGGTTTTTTCAAAAAATTGGCTCCGAAATCACCTTCAATTTTTATTACATTTTTTGATACCTATTGATGTACTTATGCTATGTAGAAAGTTTGAGCAGATTCCGACTTCAATTTTTCGAGTTATGACCATTTTTCTAAAACTCCAGTTTTCTGGAAAATCCCCTGTACTATAGCCCATGGTTTTTTCAAAAAATTGGCTCCGAAATCACCTCTAATTTTTATTACATTTTTTGATACATATTGATGTACTTATGCTATGTAGGAAGTTTGAGCAGATTCCGACTTCAATTTTTTGAATTATGACCATTTTTAAAAACTCCAAATTTTTGAAAATACCCTAATCTACACTGTATGTAGCCCATATATGCTTTATCCTCTTAGAGTATCATGTAATGTGTTCATTAGGTATAGTTGCTGTATCAGTTGGTGAGCCATACTCACTCAATGAAAGGATAGAATTATCATTTAAACTAGTTCACTCAAACTCACTTGTTCTTCTATGGAGCTTCACTGATCCCATTCACCCTCAAGTAATAACATGTACATTATATACTGTACATGCATGTACATATGCATACACTGTATTACATGTATATTATTCATGTCAATCTTAATTGGGTGTTTAAATTCATTTACATTTTAATTTTTGTATAATTATTTTTTTTTTCTAGTTATTTTTAGAAGCTCCTGAAGATATTTTGTGTTTTAAGTTCAATCCAAGCAATCCAAACCTCATTGTTGGTGGCTGCATCAACGGACAGGTAAGAATGTACATGTAACATGTACATGTACCAGTACATGTATACATGTACTATGTGCTTCATTTTTATTACATGTACATGTACACACATGTATAGGTTGTAATATGGGATATAACAGACTATCAGGAGAGACTACAGATTCATCGCTCAATCAATACAAAAGAGAAAGGACCAGTAATGAACGTATGTTCACACAATGTACATGTACATGTAGC